TAGGTATTTAGGGGCTTATGTCGTGAAACAAAAGAATGTTTCATTTACTGAGTGCCTGATGAAAAAGTCACCATATTATTGGACACAATCCGAAGCTGTAATTAATCTGGGACTACGATTATTTAGGATTATTGGAAAGAATATACATTTTTGAAGGATAATCTCAATTGCATTCATCTCATTGTAAATCAAGGCATGAATTTCGTGTGACTCAGAAACATCAGATCATAAGCAAACAATCGAATGTACTGGTGGAACACCAAAATGAAGAATAAGTCCATGTTCAGGATTCATCGTAGTCCAAACCTTTCGAACATTGATTGAACCAGTCCTACTGCATGGATCAGAACCTTGGACATTATCTGCTCGTCTTGTAAGACCACTGGACGAAACATATACAAATTTACTTAGAATGATCCAGAACATTTGGTGATCCTATGCAAAGCTTAACGCAATTTACGAAGAACTGGGAGTAATCTCTTTTAAGCTCAAACAAAAACGGTTTCCGGCCACTGTAACGAAATGGACAGGGAAATCGCCTCAAACTTACTCCTATGGCATCCTTCTGAGATTGTCTTCTCAAGAAAACTGACTTTCCCAGGCATCATAGCTCGGGACTCAGTGGACTTTGGGGATCTGGGGACAGCAATGCAGTACCGAACAGTGAAAAGGGATTATCAATGGAGTTCCGACCAACCAGTGAGACGTCTAAGGATGATCATGAGGATAAAGGCAAAAAATAACAATGAATGCATTTAAGATTTTATAGGACAATTTCTGAATTTTGGTGTGAATTTGACTAAATATACATTCTTTTTATTTTGGGGTGAGTTAATATTTTGGGTTGAATTAACAGAAACCCTCAGCTATTTCTACAAGAGTCAAATCAGACTGAAAATGGAATAATGCTGCCATATTTTGGCTGGGGCTGCCATATTTCTGCTATAGCAGCTGAGCCCTCATTTTCGAGTCCAAAAGCGTCTTCGCGACTTTAAGTGTGATGGACTGTTTTCCAGTTTACACCGGTATTCTCACAGACAATAAGTTGTAATCCTCTCGATAGTCTATTGCTATTTCTATAGAATATGTCTAGAGAAGCTGTATTCTGTAAAATCCCTCAACTCTAACCCTTAAAGCTAAAACGCACCCCGGGCTACACATTCCTCTCTTATTCCTATGTAATTCTATTAGTAAATAGTAATTCTGATTCGAAGAGCTTCTTTAAAAAGCATTGTTTCTCTTTGGAACAGACCTCCAGGATGCTAATGATTAACCATTTATTATTTATGATGCACCAATTCCAAAATTGACAACTTTAAAGATATTATCTCCCAAGGTCGTTAGGACGTATAAGTTAGGAGTTTGGAAGTGTAGTCGTGCCTTCGTAATATAATAATTCGGTGCAAAATAGAATAATTGATATTACAACAGATTTCTGTACCCTTTTTCGGTTCTAATGATATTTTCTGTCTCTTAACACTTTGCTTAGTTTCTGAAATGCATGTAAACATTGACCCGCATTCACTGTCACATAGGAGAATAAATATTCCATACCAGTTCAGTGCTTTTTTCTTTGTTTCTAATGACATTCTCCTATCTTTTAATCCTTTTTTTTAGTTTCTGAAATGCATGTAAACATTGACCCGCATTCACTGTCACATAGGAGAATAAATATTCCATACCAGTTCAGCGCTTTTTTCTTTTTGTTTCTAATGACATTCTCCTATCTTTAAATCTTTTTTTTTTAGTTTCTGAAATGCATGTAAACATTGACCCGCATTCACTGTCACATAGGAGAATAAATATTCCATACCAGTTCAGCGTTTTTTTCTTTGTTTCTAATGACATTCTCCTATCTTTTAATCCTTTTTTTTAGTTTCTGAAATGCATGTAAACATTGACCCGCATTCACTGTCACATAGGAGAATAAATATTCCATACCAGTTCAGCGCTTTTTTCTTTGTTTCTAATGACATTCTCCTATCTTTAAATCCTTTTTTTTTTAGTTTCTGAAATGCATGTAAACATTGACCCGCATTCACTGTCACATAGGAGAATAAATATTCCATAGCAGTTCAGCGCTTTTTTCTTTGTTTCTAATGACATTCTCCTATCTTTAAATCCTTTTTTTTTTAGTTTCTGAAATGCATGTAAACATTGACCCGCGTTCACTGTCACATAGGAGAATAAATATTCCATACCAGTTCTGCGATTTTTCTTTGTTTCTAACGACATTCTCCTATCTTTTAATACTTTCTTTTAGTTTCTGAAATGCATGAGGAGATTGTCCAGTATTCACTGCTATATACGAGAGTAGATAAGGCACCTCGGCGGGGTGTAATGGTTAGCAATCTTGTCTTGCTAGGTCAGTTACTACTGAAAAGTGAGTTCGATCCTCACAGGATGCCTCATGATTTCGGCCTTGTATCACATCTAAGTTACGCTTGGAACATCTAGGGCGCCTCGGTGTGGTGTAATGGGTAGCAAGCTGGTCGCGCTAAAACTGTTACAACTAAATAGTGAGTTCGATCCTCACTGTATGCTCCATACTTTCGTCCGTGTGCCATATCTAAGCCTCGCATAGAAAATCAATATACGAGAGTAGATATTATACAGCAGTTCATTATTCATTTTTTTATTGTTTCTCCCGACATTTCCCTATTTCAAAATACTTTGCTTACTTTCTGAAAAGCGGGAAGAGATTGTTCAGCATTTACTGCCATAAAGCTGATTAGATATTACATAACTGTTCAACAGTCTTTTCTTTGTTTCGAAGGACTTGTTTCTATATCGTAATGCTTTGGTTAGTTTATGAAAAGCATGAGCAAACTGTCCAGCATTCACTGACATATTGGAAATTAGATATTACATATTCGTCCGCTACACTTTTTATTTGTTTCTAACAACATTTTCCTATCTCTTAATACTATGTTTAGTTTCTGAAAGGCATGATGAGATTGTCCAGTATTCCCTGCCATTTATGCGATGGGATATTACATAGCAGTTCTAATCCTTGCCGATTTTCTGAAATTGCTGAATGAGGAGATTGTCCCGAGTTCACTAATATAAAGGAGATTAAATCATTCCGAGTCACATAATCAAAAATGTAATAATTTTAAAGATATAATAAGTTTGACATCCCATCCACCTGAAGTAGGCTGGAGCGTACAACGGCAGAAACGCTGTGATAAATATGGCGACAAAGATGAGAACAATAATCCGAATAATGTAAATAGTGTACAATTACTATATCACTAAATTTACAAACCAATTCCTTAATCTACTAGGCTATTCTCTTCTTTTTAGTATTGAACAGTATATAATGTAAATAAACATAAATTTATTTCGCTCACTGGGGTAGACTGCTCTAGTTCCACATGCCATGTCTAATGGATGTCAGTTATCCGTTATCCCCTGTTCATTTTCCCTCTGACAGTTCTCCACTGCCTTAACCAGGTATTGAACTCATACTCTTTGGATCCTGTCACTGGATCTAAGCAACGACTTTATCCACTGTGCCATGTGTCCTTGAGGACACATGGTACAGTGGATATAGACATATATACTCCTCCACATTTATCAGAACAATTTGAGTTAGGCACAGGTACTGACGTCATACAATAATTACTAGTAAGTCCTTCTGTCCTTTTTCTTTTATAAAAGCGGGGCGGGGGGGGCTATCGAGAGTCGGGTTTTGACGTAACATTTTGATATGTTTGACCTTCTTGGACGTCATAATAGCAGTTCTTCGAAACACGTCCTGATCTATTTGTATTTTTGTCACCTAGCCTTTAATACACATTTATGCAAATTTTCTAATGTCTATTTACGCTATTTACATTGTTCGGACTATGGCCCTCATCTTTATTGTCATATTCACGACCTTTCGATCGTTGTACGCTCAGGGCTTTGTCAGGATCTATCTATATTTGTGAGATGAGGTATTGTAAATATTTACATCGTTCAGACTGTAGTCCTTTATTGTCATATGACGTTTCGGCCGTCGTACGCTCTGGCCTTCTTCAGGTGATATATTCTGGAATTTCGAACCGAACGCTTTATTTTGTCCACAAAGGTAGTTTGTTCTAGTTCCACATGCCTTTTCACATGGCCCAGTGGGAAAAACGTAATAGAAAAGTGACTTGACTCAAAGTGTTGTGAGTTCAATACCTGTCCACAGGATAGGTGAAAAAAAAATGGAGAATTGAGAATGAGCTCGAAATGACGCGTGACTAGAAGAAAGCGGTAAGAAGAATGAGAAAAATTGACTGTAATAAAGAGATTGAAAGAATATAAGAGAGGGAAAGAAAGAATGATGTGAGAAAGAAAAAAAAAGAAGAAGTTTAATAGTTACTATAAGGGAAAGAAAGGGAGAAATTGAGAGAGAGGGGGAAAGGGATTTTAAGGTAAAGGAAAGAACGGGAGAAAGAAAAAAAGAAGGATTGTGAAAGAAAAAGAGGGTGAAAGAAAGACATTAATTGAGAGGAGAAATGAGATTGTAAGCAAAAGAAATAAAGAAAGAAAGAACGAAAAAAGAAAGAAAGAAAGAATGAAGGATTGTGAGAGAAAAAGAAAGAGGAAAGAAAGACAGTAATTGAAAGGGAGAATGAGATTTTAAGTAAAATAAAGAAAGAACATTTTTAAGAAGATGAGAAAGATTTGAAATAAAAAGAGTGAAAAAGAAGGAATGTGAGTAAGGTGGAGAGAAATGTCTTGGAAAAGAAAGAAACAGTTTGAGTTCGAAAGGAGGGTTTGAATGAATGAAAGAAAGATTTTTAAAAAGAAAGAAAGCAAGGGAAAAGGAGAGATAGATATCTGAAAGTAGAAGGGGGAAAGAAAGAAGTTTGCAGATAAAGCGTAAGTAAAAGGAAAGTGATTCACAGAGAGACTTCTTCAAATAAAAAGTGGAGAAAAGAAAGAAAGGGATTTTAAAATATTGAAAGAAAATGATTAAGTGGAAAAGAGAAAGAACTTGGGAGAATTAAAAAGAAAGATCACAATTAAGAGAGAGAAAAGTATCTAAGAAAAGTAAAGAGTTTGAGTGGGAGACGAAGATCTTGAAAGAATGAACGAGCGAAAGAAAGAACGACAGAAAGAAAGAACGAAGAAAGAACGACAGAACGAAAGAAAGAACGAAAGAAAGAACGAAAGAAAGAACGAAAGAAAGAAGGAAAGAAAGAAAGAACGAAAGAATGAACGAGCGAAAGAACGAAAGAAAGAAGGAAAGAAAGAAAGAAGGAAAGAAAGAACGAAAGAAAGAAAGAAAAAATGAAAGCAAGAAAGAACGAAAGTAAGAACCACAGAGAGAAAGAACGAAAGAAAGAACGAACGAACGAAAGAAATCGAAAGAAAGAAAGAACGAAAGAAAGAAAGAAAGAAAGAACGAAACAATGAACGAAAGAAAGAACGAAAGAAAGAACGAAAGAACGACAGAAAGAAAGAAAGAAAGAACGAAAGAAAGAAGGAAAGAAAGAAAGAACGAAAGAATGAACGAGCAAAAGAACGAAAGAAAGAAGGAAAGAAAGAAAGAAGGAAAGAAAGAAAGAAGGAAGGAAAGAAAAAATGAAAGCAAGAAAGAACGAAAGTAAGAACCACAGAGAGAAAGAACGAAAGAAAGAACGAACGAACGAAAGAAATCGAAAGAAAGAAAGAACGAAAGAAAGAAAGAAAGAAAGAAAGAACGAAACAATGAACGAAAGAAAGAACGAAAGAACGACAGAAAGAAAGAAAGAAAGAACGAAAGAACGAAAGAAAGAAAGAATGAAAGAAAGATAGAAAGAACGAAAGAAAGAACGAAAGAACGAAAGAAAGAACGAAAGAACGACAGAAAGAAAGAAAGAAAGAACGAAAGAACGAAAGAAAGAAAGAATGAAAGAAAGATAGAAAGAACGAAAGAAAGAACGAAAGAACGAAAGAAAGAACGAAAGAAAGAAAGAAAGAACGAAAGAAAGAATGAAAGAAAAAAGAACGAAAGAATGAATGAAAGAAAGAATAACGAAAGAAAGAAAGTAAGAACGACAGAAAGAAAGAACGAAAGAAAGAACGAGCGAAAGAAATCGAAAGAAAGAAAGAACGAAAGAATGAACGCAAGAAAGAACGAAAGAAAGAAAGAACGAAAGAATGAAAGAACGAAAGAAAGAAAGAAAGAAAGAAAGAAAGAAAGAACGAAAGAAAGAACGAAAGGAAGTACGGCAGAAAGAACGAAAGAAAGAAAGAAGGAAAGAAAGAAGGAAAGAAAGAAGGAAAGAATGAACGAAAGAAAGAAGGAAATAAAGAACGAAATAAGGAACGAAAGAACTAAAGAAAGAATGAACGACAGAAAGAACGAAAGAAAAAAAGCAAGAAGAATCGATTAAGAGATAACTAAATAGAAAGAACACCTGTATGATAAAGAAAATTAAGCTAAAAAAGAGAGAGAGAGAAAGAGAGAGCGTCAGAAAGAGAGAGAGAGCGAGAGAGTGAAAGAGAGAAAGAATGAGAAAGAGAGATATCAAAATAGAGAGCAAAAAAAAAAGAAAAAGAAAAAGCAAGAACAGTGGATGCAGAAAAAGGAGCTCATGTATTTTATGGTAAATAAAAATTCTCACTTTTCTAAAATCTTGGAATTTCATGAATTGTTTTACTATACACATGAAGAGAATCATTTTTCAAACAGGAACCAAATCTGAAACATTATTTGAAATGGCATCCGCATCCAATATCTCACTCAGCAATATTTCTTCTTAATATTGCCTTTTATCAAATACTTATAATTAAGTTAAACAATTCGTGTTCTCTTTGTCCCTTCTCCGTTCCGATTGACGAAACGCAGGAAAATCCGTCTCTTTTAGCTACTGATTGTTAATCATTTCGTTATTGAATTATTCCGCAAAGCCTTCCTCCTGTCTTTCAACTCGCTTCTCACCTTCTCCAGAATAACTTCAATCTTGACGCACATTCAATTATCAAATTATTGCTACATTTTTATCCATTTTACCTTCTTTACAATTGCCTCCTCGGAAATCTCAAGCTAATTCAACGTCAGAGACCTGCAGAATTCACAACAACTACAGAAGCGAGTTCCACAGGCGAGGAGTATGACAAAAGAAACTATTTAAAAAATACGGTTACATCTAGCTATTTGAACAATAAATCAATGAAACCAAGTATATATATATACGCAATTTTCAGGCCGAACGACTGCGTCCAGCATGAAACAACCTGTAGCCTCTGAGTGTTGACGTCAATGTTCACTTATATATATATATATATATATATATATATATATATATATATTGATGCATGTTTCATTAAATAATATAGACGAGGTTTGTCTATTCATTTTATGTAAACTCATATAGATATCCTGTTTGTTGCTGTTAAGGGTGTCCAATTTGTTTTTGGCTATTTCAATTTGCCTTTTCACAAGGCTATATGTAACATGCATCAATGGAAGAATGCGGCCTAAATACACACAATTTAAATTACATGATGCAGCAGCCCACCAAACTATCAAGACTTGGAATTATAAATGGAGCCTTGTGAAAAGGCAAATTGAAATAGCCAAGGAAAAATTGAACACCCTTAACACCAACAAACAGGACATCTAAAAGAATTTGCATAAAATAGACAAAACTTGTTTATATTATTTAATGAAAGATGCATCAATGAAAAAAATGCTGCCTAAATACACACACACACAATATATATATATATATATATATATATATATATATATATATATATATATATATATATATATACAATGAAACAGTCTGTCTGTGGATGACAATATATGCTCCTGAAAAATTGAAGTGTGGGTTTGTAAACAGTGACTATTACGGCTAATAATACAAGACTCTTCGTTAAATCGAATTGAGTTCTCTCGGTCACTGTGTGTTTATCTAAAAAAATAAATACACTTAAATTCACCTTCATCCCTGCCGGCTTAGTGGTAGAATCCGCCAATTCAGTCGGATTTCGATCCTAGCTAGAGGCAAACGGATGTCTATCCACACTGATGAGCTGTGATACAGCGAAACAGTCTGTCTGTGGATGAATATATATATATATATATATATATATATATATATATATATATATATATATATATTTCATCTCAAGCATTGAATTCCATTCGAATATGAAATTCACAATCAAATCCTCTTTGTTGCTCAAATGCTTTCTCGAGAGCCTGTACTTTATAATGCTCCATAAGTTTTCTATGGGGTTGAGGTCAGGAGATTGGGGCGACCATGTCATAACACTCACCTGCTTCTCATCAAAGTATTCCTTCATCAATTTTGATTCGCGAAAAGGAGCATTATCCTGCATAAAAATGAGCTTGGTGGGGTCGATTTACGCCCTTTCAGCAGAAGGGAGCAGACAAGACTCTAAAATTCTCTTGTACTGCTCGCTCCTGAGGGTCTTTCCAATAGGTTTTAAGAAATCAGTTCCATGAAAGGAAAATCATCCTCAGAACATTATACTGAACGGATGCTTGACAGTACTTACTGCTAAATTCAAAGAGCTTTCAAAGCTTCTTCTTCGGATTTTAGATCGCTTATCTTTTGAATTTAGCTCAACGTTCGTTTCATCGGAGAAGAGAACATTCTTACAGTTTTCTACGGTGAGATTTTTGTAATAGTGAGCCCATTCAAGTCTCTTGGCTTTGTTGGCTTTGCTTATTAGCGGCTTAAACCTTCGTGTACAAGATTTGTAGCCTTGTTCTAACAGCCACCAACGGACTGTTGAAGAGGCAAGACAAACACCTTGCTCTTCGCTTAGACTGGCTGCAATTTCTTGGCTTGTTATAGTCCTATTCTTCGCAACTTCTCTCTTGATTACCCTGCCAGTTCTATCATCAATCGTTTTCTTTCGTCCCCTTGTTTCTTTCCTTGGAGCAGAAGTGGCATCATTATGTGCCCTAAGCACTTGAGAGACAGTTGATTGAGAGGTTCTAGCAATTTCTGCAATTTCTCTCGTAGACTTTTGAAAGGGCAATAATAGATGCCTTAAGTGGTTCTGAGTGGCTATTTCAGGCTGTTTTATACTGTATGAGGTTTTCTGGAATATTCTGGAATACTCTAGATTTAATTTAAGCTGTTCTAGAATTCTCTAGAGTATTGTTCTGAGTGTATTGTAAAATAGTTTTCAATATTTTGTCAAAAGCTCTTTAAATTTACCAGTTTAATCATTAGAATGCAATATCTGAGTCAATTTTTTGGATAGAGTCTTTTCCTGAATCTCATTTATATCCAAATTTATACTTATCAGTAGAATACCTTAGGGTAAATAAAATTTCTTCCTAGGTGGTCGAGAAGGGGTCTTTATATTAATAAGAACAACAATTATTTAACCCCGAAAACAATAGACAAAAAATATTTTTAGTAAAAAAAATCAGGTGAGTCACTTTTATCGATCAGCACTGTATATATATATATATATATATATATATATATATATATATATACTTAGACATGAATGAAAGGTTCAGATCAGAATTCTCTGTAGGTTACTCAGATTGATATCCACCTGATTAAGGCCGGATGACACAACGACCGAAACATTGCAGTAACAATACCACATAGTCACAACGGTCTAAACATATATAGTATAAATAATGATATTAACGTTTTACCTTTAAGTAAACATTCGGAGTTTATTGCTCGAAAAGCCAGTGTATCTAACATAAAGGTGAAAAAAATAAATTGATCGCAAGACTAAGTTCGGAGATCATGTTATAAAAAATATATAATAACGTTGATGCGTACTAAAAAAGCTGTTAAAATTGTTCACGGGTTGCTTATTGGTTTGTGGCTATAAGCAATAGTGCAAGAAAGTTGATAAAAATCGATGGAAAACTGCACAGATGTTGCAGTACGCAGATTAATGAAGTTGAAATGGGTAATAATGATGATGAATTATTTTATTATTTTAATAATATCGGCAACACTGCAAACAGAAATGGAACTTTTTTTATTTGCGAAGAAGAAATTAGTATATTATGTAATTAAACTTCTATTTCCCATTTCTGTAGGAGAATAAATATTCCATAGCAGTTCAGGCCTCTTCCCTTTGTTTCTAACGACATTTTCCTATCTCTTAATACTTTGCTTAGTTTCTGAAAAACATGAGGAAATTTTCCAGCATCCACTGCTTTATAAGAGATTAAATATTACATAGCAGTTATGTGCTATTTGTTTCTGACAACATTTTCCTTTTTCGTAATCTTTTGCTTAGTCTCTGAGTAAATTGTCCAGCATTCACTAACGTAGTAGAGATTAGATATTACATAGCAGTCTATTACTCATTTTCTTTTCTAACGACATTTTCATATCTCTTAATACTTTGCTTAGTTTTAGAAAGTCATGGGGTGATTGTCAGACATTTACTGCCATATTGGAGATTCGATATTACATAGCAGTTCAGCAAACTTTTCTTTGTATGTAACGACATTTACCTATATCTTAATTCTTTGTCGATTTCCTGAAACGGCTGGATGAGGAGACAGTCTAGCATACACAGGCATATAGGAGACTAAATAATTTTGATGCACATATCCAAAAGTGCACGTTGAGGTCAACACTCAGAGGCTACAGGTTGTTTCTTGCTAGACGTAATCGTTAGGCCTGACAATTGCGTCTAGGATGAAACAGCCTGTCGCCTCTGAGTGTTGACCTCAATGTTCACTTTTATATTTATATTTACATAAGCTCTGCCTCTGATATTGAGCACTTTATATACTCTTTCACATTCATCCGAACTTATACGATTTGATTTAGGCAGAGGTACTGAAGTCATACAATAATTACCAATATGTCCTCATTTTCTTTTTATAAAAAAGGGGAAACTTATTGAGAGTAGGGTTTTGGCATAACGGTGTTACATAACTGGCTTTCCTGGATATCTTAAATTTCACAGCGGCTTAATTAAACTTCTATTTACGATTTCTGTAGAAGTCCAGTGAACGTGATGTCCACAATCACAACACAGCACGTTTGTGCTTCTGTAGTTTTTATATTAATCTTCATGAGAGTGTATCGTTGCGTTTTCTCGGGCTTACATTCTCAGCTGATAGTAAGTGGAAAGATTATACTGAATCCATTGTTAGGTCTGTTGCTAAGAAAGTTGTTTCTCTGTGTCGGGCTCGACAATTTTTCTCTCCTAAATCTTACATATTTTTAAGTCTAACATTCGTCCATACTTTGAATATTACTGTCACAAAGGATCCGGTACTCCTTTTCTTAATCATTTGATCACAAGCAAGGAGGGAATGCCACTAGCACGCAGCGGGTTAAGGAGAATGAAAATGAAACAGAAGACTGATAATAGTGAGGATTGAGGAAAGGAAAAAATATAAACGGGATTCAAGACAACAGAAGATAGAAATTGATTTTGCATTCAAATTTTGAAGATAGTAGTTATCAGAAAGAAAATAAACGGAGTTCCACATGTCTGAAGTGCGAGAAAAGAAACTGTTGGTAGAAGTGGCGGTTACACTGAGCTATTTGAAAAGTAAAAGGATGTGGCTTAAATGTCAATCTAGTATGACTCTCAAAAATATATATATATATATATATATATATATATATATATATATATATATATATATATGACACCAGCTGTCATG